TTGATGGTTCAATAGACTCTAGACAGACAGACAGACAGAGAGAGACAGAGACAGAGACAGAGACAGAGACAGAGACAGAGACAGAGACAGAGACAGAGACAGAGACAGAGACAGAGAGACAGAGAGACAGAGAGACAGAGAGACAGAGACAGAGACAGAGACAGAGAGACAGAGGCAGAGGCAGAGGCAGAGGCGGAGGCAGAGGCGGAGGCGGAGGCGGAGGCGGAGGCGGAGGCGGAGGCGGAGGCAGAGGCAGAGGCAGAGGCAGAGGCAGAGGCAGAGGCAGAGGCAGACAGACAGACAGAGACAGACAGACAGACAGAGACAGACAAACGGAGAGACAGACAGAGACACAGACAGAGAGGCAGACGGAGAGACATAGAGACAGACAGAGCAGACAGAGACAGACAGACAGACCGACCCACGGACGGACGGACCGACAGACACAGAGATACATGCACGCATTAAAACACACATACACAATGCATGGACGTATGTATGCATTTGTGTGTGTGTGTGTGTGTGTGTGTGTTTGTGTCTGTGTCGGTGTCTGTGTCCGTGTCCGGGTCGTGTTTGCGTCTGTGTCTGTGCATGCATGCATGTATGGATGCGTGTATGCACAGAAAGGTTGCGCTAACTTCTGATAACGGATAGGTTCTGTCTTTGCAGCGTTCGGAAAGATAGCAGATGCCCGTGTTTCTTCTTCAGCGTCTAGAGTCTAGAGGAGTACAGTACAGTTCTACTGGTCTAATGTAATGCAGCATAATTCTGCAGAGTGTGATACAATCTGGTGGAGCAATGACAACCTAACATAGCTTTGCAGTATAGAGTCGCAAAAGTTTTTGCCTCCGTGTGCGCAAGTCTTTAGTCATATCTTCTTCCTGGTTTTTGTGTGCATGGAAACCAAAGCAGACACCCATCCCCATAGAGAGAGAGCGAGAGAGAGAGAGAGAGAGACAGGCACCAGGTAAACCCCAAACCCTAAACCCTAAACCCTAAACCCTAAACCCTAAACCCTAAACCCTAAACCCTAAACCCTAAACCCCAAACCCTAAACTCTAAAGCCCCCAGCCCTGGACTCCACCAGAGCTCTCCTGGTGATCGGCGTCCCGAAGCGATTCCTTCAAAGAGCCGGGTCCATAGGCCCCGACAAGTAAGAAACGGACCCTAGGAACCTTCCTTGCAGGTGCACGTAGGGTTCAGGGTTCGAGGGTTTAGAGTTTAGGGTTTAGGGTCTGGGTTCAGGGTTATAGGTTTTAGGGTAGATTGGCCGACTGGCATTCCATCAGCTGAATTCTCCATCTCATGCGCAGATGTTTCGAGAGGTGGTCTGCGCAGCTCCTGCACAGTTGCCGCAAACTTCCCACAACACCTGAGTTGAGCCGAAGGCGGGAAGATTTAGTTGTGTTTGTGGGTCTGGATGTCGGTGCAGTATCCATGGAAAGTACGGATCTAGGCATACTGGCTCCTTTGCTGGAGTATTCCGGACTGAGGAAGCGAAGCTCGAACCATTCTCTGGGCAATCGGCAAGGATCTTACTAAACCCTAAACCCTAAACCCTAAACCCTAAACCGTGATCTTACGTTATTTGTGATAGAAACCCTAGACCCTAAACCCTAAACCCTAAACCCTAAACCCTAAACCCAAGAGCCCACTGTTGGTTTCGCAGCCTGCGAGGTCCAGGTCGTGAAGATCGGGCCAAGCACGCTAGGCCATGCAGCAGGGACAGAGCAGAGGCGTAGGGGCCGCAAAATTATGCTATATTCTATTATGTTCTATTGTATGGTTATGTTAGAGCAATTTGGAATTCAGAGTAGCAGCCATGGAAGAGTCAGGCGAGCGGGGGAAAGGATCAAGTTACTGTGCCATGGAATCTCGGACTTTTGTTCCAATTGCGGATCCGGTCTCGAGCTCTGGATATCGAAGTTGTGCGTGTCTGTGCTCTTTTTGACCCAGAGGAGGCAGCAGCCCCAAAGCTTTAGTTACACTATACTTTCCTTGCATCTCGGCATAGTGAGCACAATCAGTGTCATCAGCCGCCTGTCGTTCCTGCTGTTGCAGCGAATGGAGATCTCCGGGTCTGCTAACGCATGTTCAGTTTACAAGAAACAGAAGCCTACCAATAGTATGTCGAGACGATGAGAGGATTTGATTATGTTTCTAGTTGTGGTTCCCGCTGGTGCAGGTCTATCAAGAGCGGTTGCAACGGAGTCCAAATCACAGGGGCTACAACCCTAAACCTTCAGCCCTAAACCCTAAACGCTAAGGCCCTTACAAAAAAAAAAACTCTGCGAACTTAACAGATCGGAGCCTAAGCAAGTCGAAATCTTCTTCCGTAGGGTCCCTCAATAGAGTTATTACTATGTTATAGCTGGGTCATCAATATCGTTATAGTATGCTCTAGCTGTCGTGGTATACTCTACCCGCTAAGAATCTCAAGGACGGGCCGGGGTCCGGTCCTTTAGGGTCCTAGGGTTTTTAGGGTTTCTGGAGGTTTTCAGGGTTTAGGCGTTGACTATATATATATATATATATCCATCCATCCATCCATCCATCCATCCATCCATCCATCCATCCATCCATCCATCCACACATACATACATACATACATACATACATACATACATACGTACAGACATATATATATATATACATA